CCGTGGGAACAACTGGTAGTGAAGGTACACCTCTGCCATTCACCCCTGGCCAGATAGTCCACAAGGACACCATGTGTATCGTTGTGCAGTTGTATAGTCCACGATGCCCAGAAGATAGGTGTGAGTAAGGACTGCATCCATACCTTACCCCTCTCTTCACCAATAGAGCCACATGTCCTGGGAAACACCCTTTTCTACAGAACACAAAGACATGCAGCAGGGCCCTGATTTCCCGAGCCCCTCTCACCTCCCCGGACCCCATTCCTGGAGGAAGTAACAGCAGGGGGCTGCAATCAGGTACGTGGATGCCTGCTGCTTGGTTCCATGTTTACAGCTTGGATAGCCCAGTGCCTTCGCACCCACAGAGGCACCATCAGCAGTGGGTGACACAGGTCCACGGGGGAGCTACTCAGTGGCCAGGGTCATCTTTATCTAGATTAGCACTCCTCACATTTCCTTCTGCCTCAGTGTCACATGGAGGCTTCAAAAACCCAGATCGTTGTGACCCGCCCTCAGAGTTGCTGACTCAGCAGGTCTACGTAGGACCGAAGGAGTCCTTGGGGGCCACCCATGGGGAAGCAACTGACCACGAAATGAAAGATTGGAGCATGGAGCCCACTCCGAGATGCCTTGGGAACAATCTGAGATCACAGTCCTAAAAACCCTAGGGGACAGCTCTCCTCTGAAGCTCATGACCCGACAGCAGCGGTGGGTTTGCTTTCTGTTTCAAGTCCGTTCCTCACAGCTCCCAGGTGAGGCCCCTCGGGTTGCTGGTCAGGCGACCTGAGGCTGAGAACCGTGCCTAGGGATTTTCCTCACCTCTCCTCTAGACAGCCTTCCTGCTCATCACCTTTGCACTTGAGAAGATGGCCAACATCCATACAAGACGATTTATACAGACACAGTTTTACAGCATCAACTGGGGAGGAGGTCAGGGTAAGCTATTGAGAGGTTTGATAGCTTTCTTTACATGGTAGAACACAACATTGATGCTCGAAATGTAACCTCCCAGATAGTAATGCACAATAAAAAAGTCCAACAAACAGACCTCCAGAACACTGCCATTGAGTCCATTCTGACGTCTAGTGACAAAAACGGAACCGCCAAACAAATAGAACCAAACCCGGCAAAGGTCGCCGACGAGCTGGACTGGCAGAGTGGCTGCAGCCGTGAGCTCCCACCTGAGAGCCGTTGTGAGGATGGAGACAGCTGGCTGGATCCTGCCCTGTGCTACATTGGGTCGCCAAGAGTTGGAACAGATACAAGGGGCCCCACCACCAGCAAACACTATTTCCTAGGCACTGCTCTGCACACACATGTTACTTCCTTAACCCCACGTCCCAGAGTCGAGAAGTAGCCAGTGAAACAAAAGGTGGGGCAGAAGAGGGAGAGGGCGTTTAGGAACAAGCGCTGGTGTTTGAAACTCGGGGACTGGTCTTCTCAGCAGGACTTAGCGCTTGGCCAGAGGAGCAAGCGGGGAGGGGAAGGAAGAGAATGCTTGCTCCAAGAAAGCTGCGGATCCTCAGATGCGTTCACAGAAGTCCTGATACGGAGCGATTCCTGGGTTAGGAGTCAGGTTCTTGTTGGCAAGTCCCTTCAACCACAGAGTCCAGGCAAAGAATAAGGTCATTAGGCAAGCGCAGTTTGCCTAATGTCTTTGAGTTTGTGTGGGTACATGCATGTATGTACGTGGGTGCATGTGTATTCTTCCCCCAGTTCTCATTTCTTAGTTTGCGTCTTGAAAATAGTGATAAGAATCCTGTAGTAGCAGAAGGACATTGGGCCTCCACTCAATGCAAGAATACTTTCTTCTATGAAATTGGTATTCTATGATGCTCACCTTCCCGACACAACCGCTGAAGACAAAGAAGGTGAATAAGCAAATGTGGTGAAGAAAGCTGATGGTGCCCAGCTATCAAAAGATACAGCGTCTGGGGTCTTAAAAGCTTGAAGGTAAACAAGCAGCCATCTTGCTCAGAAGCAACAAAGTCCACATGGAACAACTTTTCAGCTTGTGTGATCACGAGGTGTTGAAGGGATCGCTGAAGACAAATGGGTGCATAAGCAAATGTGGCGAAGAAAGCTGATGGTGCCCGGCTATCAAAAAGTATTGCGTCTGGGGTCTTAAAGGCTTGAAGGTAAACAAGCGGCCATCAAGTTCAGAAGCAACAAAGCCCACATGGAAAAACATATCAGCCTGTGTGATCACGAGGTGTCGAAGGGATCAGGTATAAGGCATCATCAGAACAAAAAATCTTACCATAGTGAATGATGGGGGGAGTGCGGAGTGGAGACCCAAAGCCCATTAGTAGGCCACTGGAGAGCCCCTCGCAGAGGGGTTTTGGGGAGGAGACAAGCCAGTCAGGGTGCGATGTAGCAACGATGAAAAATACAACTTTCCTCTGGTTCCTAAATGCTTCCTCTCCGCCCCCACTATCATGATCCGAATTCTACGTGCAAGTCTGGCTAGACCAGAGGATGTACACTGGTACAGATAGAAATTGGAAACACAGGGAATCCAGAGTGGATGATCCCTTCAGGACCAGTGGTGTGAGTGGCGAAACAGGAAGGGTAAAGTGAGAGTGGGTTGGAAAGAGGGAACCAATTACAAGGATCTACCTGTGACCTCCTCCCTGTGGGATGGACAACAGAAAAGTGGGTGAAGTGAGACGTTGGACAGGGCAAGATATGACAAAATAATAATTTATAAATTATCAAGGGCTCATAAGGGAGGGGGGACCGGGGAGGGAGGGGGAAGAAAAAAGAGGACCTGATGCCGGGGGCTTAAGTGGAGAGGCAATGTTTTGAGAATGATGAGGGCAATGAATGTACAAATGTGCTTTACACAATTAATGTATGTATGGATTGTAATAAGAGTTGTATGAGCCCCTAATAAAACGATTAAAAAAAAAAAAAGCAAAGCCAGTAAAAAAAAAAAAAAAAAAGATTTACAGTGTCAGCAACCCAAAGGGCCAGTTTAATTTGCCCTGTAGGGTTGCTATGAGTTGGAACCTATTGGTGGTAGTTGATGTGGTTTGGTTAATAATATTTTGGTTTTTATTGTATCAGATACCAACCATCTGTTAACTCTAGATTTAATATATATGCTGTTGATGTGAGCACCTGTAGAAGACTTGCAACATTTCAGAAAAGAAAATAAATGCTATTAAAAAAAAAAAAAAGAATCCTGTAGTTGGGAGTGAGTGACCATGGCAGAACGGTTAGTAACCACAGACTCCTCTTACTCAGTAGGCGCATATCTTGGCAATGAATCTTTGCAGCAAGTCTCTCAAAAGAGGGTGTGTAATTCCCTAACCTTGAATCTGGCATAGCTTATGCTTTCCTCTGACCGTTACAATGTGGCAGGAGGGACAGTTTGTGAGGCTGGAGACTAGAACTCCAGTGACTTGCCTGCTTGAAAACTCTCCCTGAACCAGAAGGAAGTGCGCCCTCGTGGAGGATGTTGGGCCGTGTGGAGGCGAATGAGATGCTCCATCAATGGCAGAGGAGAAGCGAACCCTTACATGAAATTTAGAGTTTGGCTTATCCTCTGGAATGGGTCCTTTGGTTAATATATGGAGAATGAATATTGAGTTTGTAACTGATGGTGTCCAGAAAAGTCAGGCTGTATTCCTGAATTCTACTCAGGGGCCAAAGCAGGACCACACGGTAGATTTATTGTAAAAAAAATGAAACTGAAACAGACTTGGACAAGTTCATTTAAAAAATGGAAATGAAAGATTGGGGAAAAAGTCCCAGAAGTCATTGGATGGACTGGTTACATTTGTTTCTGACCGGTCATGTTCGCCGGTGGGGGTCCACTGCATACGGAGTTCCACACCGCGCAAGAGACTCAGGCCCCGATGAAAGCTACGTGCTGCCTTGCTACTTTCTTTAAATGAGTGGGCTTGGCTACAGCAAGCACTAAATCCTGCTGTGCGAAACTACAGCTATTGCTTTGTTGGGACCACACGGTTATCGCCTAAAACGGCAACCTCCGGCTCCGAGGGGGGGCGGGGGGCGGCGGCGGGGGGAGTAAAATCAAGGAGCACGTCCATCGGAACACCCACAGTGACTCGACTCCTCTGGGTCATTTGGTTCACGGGCGGGGAGGAGGACGCTGGTGTGGCAATGGCCAGGACTTCGCTTTTCTCTGACCACACTCTCCAATCAAACGAGTGACTCCTGCCAGCAGCCTCTGTGCGCTGACGCTTTCCCTCCCTGATGAGCACAAACAACCGACGTATGCAGGCTGACCTGCAAAGTCCTGGTTTAAATTCACTGATTTCTGACCATGCTACTATACATGCGCTCCTCGAGCCCTGGTTTGATTCAGAAAAGGTGGCCGCCCTGCTGGGGTACAGTTATGCCATGCTGGCTTAATTATCATCCATTTATATAATGAGGTAGAGACATTCTAATTCCATTTCAAAGATGTTCTTGTGAGACAAAAAGCTGCCACACGCCACATAACAGCTAAGACCCGACGACGTGCCTCATCACCCCCTTAGGCAGTTGCCATCCCCGCAGAGCAAGTCTGCCGTGCAGGGGGCTTATCTGAGACGGCTCAGCAACCACACTCCACAGTCCCTCATCTGCTTACCTCTTCCGGGGTGCTGGACTGCGTCTGGGTGGTTGTTTGAACCCACGGTGTCGCTGTAATTCCGGCTGTCTGCATACTGGGGCTCTGCTTCTTGCTGCTGCTGGGACTGTAGATTTCTGTCGTGCTCCGGGTGCAGGCCTCTGTGGTGTTCCTAATAAGGTTGGTTGTGCTATATGTGACTGCATGAAAAGTAGTGGGGACTCGGGACAGATCAGTGCCTCTTGTGCTTCTCACTGAAACTTCTGCTCCCAGGAGAGCTGAGGTAAAGAAATGACAGTTGCTAACATTACCCTTATTGTTTATGGATTCTGTCAACATAGAAACAGTTTTAGTCAGAACATAGCAGTCTCTTAATAGCAGGCATGGGTATGATTCAGTTATATGAAAGATGGAAAATGTTTTGAGGGTGACAGTGCTCATTTGTCCTGTATAATTCACTCAGCCTCCTCTCTGCCTCGGTCCACTTTCTATAGCAGAGGGAGAGTTCGGGCTACAGGAAAAGCAGACCACAGTTCTGTGTCGAAGGAAGACCATGTCAAATGCACAGTGCTCTAAGCAGTTATTGACTCAATTGCTGCATTTTATAATTTAGTGGTCTGTTTCTGTGGAGTCTATGAAGTTCTGGGGTTACTGAATTGGTTTATGGGGGTCAATGAATGCCCCCAAATGTATGTAAAATCTTGTATAAATGTGCATATGTATTTTTCTGTGGAGAAGTTTCCTAGTCTTCATCAGCTCCTCAAAGGGGCCAATAAAATACCGGGTTGAAAAACACTGTTAACGAATTGCTTAACTTCCTCATAAAAATTGAAGATTCTTTGGAAGACAACAACATTTCTTTAATGGCAGTACAGACAGACAGTTACTAATCCTAGGTGTTTGTTAAGTACCCAATCACAGAACTGTTGCATTTCTAACTTATCTATATTCTGGAGGAATAGTGAATGAATTGAAAACTTATGACTTGGTGAGGTGAATATAAAGCTTTATTTGTAAAGCTGAATTGCCATATATTAATAAAATGCTCCCATACCTCTGCTAAAAAGTTGATTTTGATGCACAGTGACCCTCTAGGACAGAATAGAGCAGCCCCATAGGGTTTGTAAGGCTATAAGTTGGTGGATCATGGAAGCTGATCACCACATCTTATTTTCTCGGAGTGGTTGATGGGTTTAAGCAACCAACCTTTTCGTTGGCAGTGGAGCGCACTAACCACTGTGCTATCAGATTTACTTGTCTGCACATTTAAAATGTGCACCCCGCTCCTGGGGACCTTGCTAACGTGCAAGTTCTTTTTCAATAACTCTTAGACCCAGCATTTCGTAGTTATTCATTATTGCATTTTCCCCGTGCAGTTCCTGTTCCTTTCCAATGTAGCCTAAGCTGGCTAGGTGAGAGGGCTTCAAACAGTTCCTGGAAACATTTCTATGATCTCTGAAGTCTACTTTTCCATGAATTTTTTGAACCTCCCTTCATATACCGATGCATATAAAGAAAGGGGATAGAACACACAAAAGGGATTAAGATAGAAGACGCATTTTTAAAATTTAGAAAGATAGAAATATTAACATTTGTCTTAAAAGTTAATGAAATAAACATGACTCTTCAGCATCTCTTTATTGTGATATAGATGGTAGTGTAAAATGCCCTTGAATGTAAGTATTATGGATTGGATGATGTCCCCTGGAAATATATATTAGAGCCTAACCTCCATACGGGTGTATGTAATCGAATGGAATGGACTCACTTCCCCTAATGCAATGCCATGTTTTGCTAACGAGGGCTCAAAATAACAACCATGGTGAGGACAATGCAGGACCAGGCGATGCTTAGTTCTGTTGTACCTGGGGTCACTCTACCTACCAACATATTGGAAAATAGTTATCTTTCATACTCACTGACACCTAATCCAGAATCCGACATACTTCAACTAAACATCATTCCTGTTAAATGGTGTAAGACCCAACTGTGTTTTCTGTAGACCCCGGGTGACTCAATGGTTACGTGCTCAGCTGCTCATTGAAAAGCTGGCAGTCTTTTGTAAAGACTCCAGGCTCGGCCCCTGTAGTCAACAGGATTTTCTAGGTGTTGGAACTGATAGAATGGAAATTTAGTTTGGGGGTGTTAAACCTATTTAATCTGGCAAGCTTATTTATCTACTGGGTCTAAGTTTTGCTAGTGTTTTGGACAGACCCATTGCCTTTCTTTTCATTTTTAATCATTTTATTAGGGGCTCATACAACTCTTATCACAACATACCCATTGCCTTTCATTGCCTTCCGTCTTCCAAATCCTGTGCCACAATTGCTTTGGCATTGAGTTAGCTGCTCAGAGCCAAGGGATTACTTCATCTCCCAGACATTTTCTACCTGACAAGCCCAACTACACTGTAAATGAAATTCCTTTGCCGAAGGCTCCAAGACACAGTGATCTTCTGTGGTCTTCATGGAGATCGGTGTTGTATACCCCTTTAAGGAGGGAGGCATTGTCTGTGGTTGGGAGGTAAAACATTTCGGTACACGGAGAGTTGTATTTTGGCCACGTTGAGCTTTGGTCAAGGCAGATTCCCTCAGTTGACTACCACCTATGACACTTTTAGCTCTCAGATCTTAAAAAGAAAAGATTTAATAATTGGTTTAGGACTACCTACCATATAATTATGACATCTTAACATGACAAACCTATGCTTACTCTTCACTAAGAGCAGTTGGTAAGCTTTTTTCCTAAGAACTTTTCTTTTTTTAAAAATTAGTTAACTTACATAGTTCATTCAGTGAATAACATGGGATTCTCCTCAAATTAGATAGCAGATGAAAATGCTTCTGAAATTTCTTCTGTGAGTAATATCACTCATTACCATGACATGTAGCTTTGGACTATCTTATGGGGAAAAAAGCATGCGCTGTAATTGCCTTTTGTTAACTTGCTATGTTCTAAAAGCACCCCAAAGCCAACAAGTCCATTTTCCATCTAAAACCCCAACTTCTTTATCCAAAGACAGGAGCTACAGAGTCTCCAACTCCAGCGCCCCTTCATTTTGTGTCTGTGTTTTCACTCGTGCTATGGAAGAAGCAAGAAAGCAGCCTTAGCCTGAATGGTTGGAAGAGCTTGTTAGGAACACAGATGCCTTGGAACCTTCCCCTGGGAATTGTGATTCTTGAGAGCTGGTGTGGAAGCCAGCTCCAGCGCTGTAACAAGCCTCTTAGGTGACCCTAACACATCTAAATGCAGGGGGCTTTCAGAAGTTCATGGCAAACAGGAGTTAAAAGATCACAAAAAAATTCCCACTGACTTTTGGAAGCCCCCTCATGCTTGGTTTTAGCTCTTTGCGTAATATGAGCCCAGCTCAATTTTAATTACTTTATATGTAGAGGATTGAAGAACTCTGAGATTAAAAACTAAACTCACTGTCATTGCAGCAACTCTGATTCAGTGACCCTATATACAAGAGAGGAAAGAAATGCCATTGTAGAAATCTGTTAGGGTACTAAAATAAACGCATTTTTTCCATTTTTTCAACTCTTCGTTGAAATAGGTCCTATAAGATTATACTAACAATAGGAACATTGACTGTTTTGGAGTGTGCATTCTTCTGGTGTTCTTTTAAAATGTGCAAGCATTTTCCAATTCACGAAAGGCAAGATGTGTTTTGACAAATGCAAGGAAAAGTTCTTATACAATGGAACAATATGTTGAAGCTATTTTTAAAAAGCTTTATTGTACCATTGCTTCTACATTGTTCTCCTATTTTAACACAATTCCTTTGAGAACACAACTCAGGGCAAGGCAGATCATCCTGGGCCTGATCTATAAGGTTTTAGCATTTAAGTTGCACATTTCTCTTTTAATAGATCACCTATAAAGTGATTTGCAATGACTGTGTCATATCCAGACCATCTTTTAACTGTAGTCTTAAGAGCAATGTGCAGTATGTATCTATGATCGACTGAGAAATAACCAATAATGGAAATAGGAGTTTTGTGTAATAAAAAATAAATAGACAATGCAGTAGTTTGCCTCCTTCAAATGATACAAATGACTTCCAAGCATGCCCCCAACAGAACAACCTGAATAAACTTAATTTGGAGATAGAAAATATTATTTGGAGAAGTTTGAACTACATAAGTACTTTTTATTCTGTCACAATATGCCAAATCTAATGTTCTTAAAAAAACTAGAGACAACATGGAGGTGGCGGCGGGGTGAAGGGTGAAGACGCCAAGGGGTCCACAGAGAAAAAGAATTGTTTGGAAACTGATTGTGATAGCAAATGTACAATTCTGCTGGACTTGATTGAACTATTGAATGATTTGATATATGTGTTATCCCAATTAATAAAAAATAATTAAAAATTAAAAATTAGAGACAATTACCTAAAAAAAGTTAACAAATGAAGATTATACTTTGAGAAGACTGATATCTATCTATCTGTCTGTACACAGCTATCAAGTGAATTCCAACACATAGCGACCCTACATAAAGTTTCTGAGCTTGTAAATCTCTAGGGGAGCAGGCAGCCTCTTCTTTCTCTGGAGGAGTGATTGGTGAATTTGATCTACCGACCTTCCAGTTAGCCGGCCAAAATCTAACCTACATCACCACCAGAGTTCCTTTCAATGATATACGTGTGTATCTCCATCTCTATATTTACATATGTATCTATGTACCAGATAGCCTAACAAGATCCTCAGGTGACTTTTATAACTTACGTTATGTAAAAATGTATAAACCTATGTTAAAATGTAAACACTAATTCAGTCTATCTGGGGTGAAAATGCAATTTATCAGCAGGGGTTTGAGCCAGAAAGAACCAGTTCAAAGTCCTGCTAACACTAACACACACACACACACTGATAAGGTGACAGGGAGGAGGGAGGGTGTAAGGGAAATAAAGTAGGTGGAGTGGAAAGGATGACTTGTAAGCCATGACTGTTGAGCTGTAGGAGGAAGATGCTGAATCAAAAGGAGAATTCAGAGGTGAGTTAATTACCTGGTATTTATAGGGCCAACTTGCTTACTAGGCACAATGGATTCGGTGCGGTGCCTAAAACCCATAATACTTTTAGGGCTCACAAAAATCAAAAGGGAAAAAAATAATTTTTAGGGCTGAAAAATATTACATATGCTTTTTCTCATATCATGAAAAGAATGAGAATTTAGGGTCCATGATGGAGACCCCAAAGACAAAGCTGCAAGGCCTATGGAAGTGAGACATGGTCCTGTGTGTGCCCTGCTAAGTTTATTGACATCCCAGGTT